CTCTCTCTCTCTCTATACGCCTGGGAATCCAGTCGTGCCTTCTCAGAAGGTACGACTGGACCCTCCGAACCTCCATATAACAATGTCTCAAATCACCGTACCTGCGGTTCGGAACGAAAACGGATCCCTACATTCTCTGGATCTGATCCCAGTCACGTCTTGGAGCCGATGTGTTCCTGCCGGAAACCTCGGTCGAACGGCGTTGGACCATAGCCTCGAAGCCAAAATCTCCGCCGGTTCGGCGCCACACCGCCGGTTTCGCCCTGTCAATGCTTCCAAGAGAGGTTAAGTGACCGTAAATAGGACCTTACTCAAGTACCTATGGGATAGTCTATAAGGTCCTTCAACCTCTGTTGGTTGTTTTTGGGAGAATGATGTAGAACTGCAGCACTTCGCTTTCAATTCCTGGCATACGCTGGCTTTGATCAATCTTGGGCTTCTCCCACCTTCCATGGGAGGTGATGTGGTTGGTGAACAAAGGCTTCTGCCTCACAGAGCAGGAAAATGCTTGGTATTCATGCAGGATGTCTCTCACTCTCCGCTTTGTCTCTGGATGAGCAACCTCGTAGCAACCACTATATCCTCGCTCATCATCCTCGTAGCAACCACTATCATCCTCGTAGCAACCACTATATATCCATCGGTTGACCCCCTGCAAAACCAGGGTGGACAGTGAAAACTAAAGTGTGTGTTTTTGTTGTTTTGTCATTAGCTATGGAAGGTACAGCCTGCATTGTGCACCTTAGATGTAATTTGATCCAATCCTATAGATCGACACTGATCTTCACCAGGGATAGGTGATACATACATATTGATACATATTGCGTATTGCGCAAAATGCCTGATATCCGAATATATCCTGTTCTCCGAGAGCTTGCGTGGATGACATGCCAATCAAACGGCTTGCTTAATCGAAAGAACCAACCCGCTGGAACGGCCTTCTCTCTGGGACGAGTCGAGGCCAAACAAGCCGCCCAGTAGTGGGCCTTTCTTCCTATCTCCATCCATCCGAGGAAGAGGCTGGATTAGCTGATTCGGAACCTGGAAAAAAATAACATATTCACCACTAGGGAGAATAGCAAATCACCGCTATAGCAAAACCAGGTAAGAGGCTGGATGCCCAGGCGTAGTCCAACATTTTGTGCGGTGGCTCGTGCCTCGGATGTCGAGGGAAGGGGACAGCAAATGGCTGGCGGCTCTAGCTAGCTTGCCCTATAGGATTCGATCTGCCATTGTCAAATGCTCCATCAATGTATGCAAATCCTATGAGTCTACAATTTGGTGGTTTTCTCTATATGTTACTACTGTATATCAAATGTAGGCCAATGTGGGCCGTATATTGGCTAATAATGGAGCGTTGGGATTACTTTCATAGCCTGAATCCCACAACTAAGGTTTTGTTAAGCAAGGATCTTACAATACAAAACCAGGTCAACCCTTCAGGCTATGCATCATGGATAGCAGGAACCGCTCACTTGGTGGTCAGCGATCTGGGTCCCACGACGCAGGAGCCCATACACATCCATAGACCCTACAAGAACAGATACCTACACCCAGACCTACCTGCACCCAAAGACCTTCTCCGGGGTACGGAAACCCAGGTCGAGCTCCAGATAGTTTTGGACATGCTCTGGTTTGTTTATAGCATCCCAGAGGTGAGTCAGAACCCGAACGTCGACTGTCCTAGTTCGGTACCCTGACGGGTCCTATGGTCCCGGTCACTTAACCACCAGTTCCTCGGTACGGTCCATCGTCGCTCCAAAGGGGCGTGACCAGCAAATCCAATTGCTCTGGGATCTGCTTGGAGTAGGCCATTTGCATGAAACCTCAAGCGAAATCGGCCGTACTTTGGGCTGCTGCCATTTTCACAGCTCAGCGGTCCGGAACCACGCTCGGTCCAATGGAGCCCGAGGTAGCGAGCTTTCACAGCGGAACCGGGATGACCCAGGTGAGACTGAGCTCTTCGACCCTCCGTGAGCTCAGCGATCCGGACCTGCTCTGAAGACCCGGTCCGGGGGTCTGGGGTTTCTCACCAATAATTGGTTGCTTCGGGACCGGGAGGTCGGGAATTCGAGCGTCGGGCACCTCAGTCACCTGGTCAACGTTGGATCCATTCCAGCAACCACAACCATACAGGCACAGAAGACCAGTCTGTGCCGTGCCAAAAAACATTGAAGAGGCCTGATAAAGAAACGAACGGCCAGCTAGATCACACAGAAACCCGCAAGCTTGATCACAACAAGGAACAGCTAGTTTCAGCATCTGGACCTTCTACAGTAAATGACCGAACTTGAGATCCCAGTGGCTGAGGCCACTTAAATATCCCCTTGGGCTCCAACCACCTCCTGAGAAGATGGTTGGGGTGGGTTTGGGGGGTCTAACCACCTTCTGAGGATATGGTTGGAGCCCTAGGGATCCTAAGACTATTTATAATATTTGTAGTTATTAATAAAACGCTTGTTGTACAGGATTCAAGCTATTGAATCAATGGTCGGCTAGGAATTTTAGGGTGATCATATTTGGATCCACTGCCGCCCTCGTCAGGGTGAGGGAAACACTTTAAATATCTGGGAGTCTGGGAGCATCCGGTTCGGCCCGTACGGGATCCCGAGACCGCCTGGAGTCGACCATCTCCGCCGAATCGCACGATACGTCTCCCCGGAAGAGTCATGGTCCGGTCGTTCGGGCACCCGACTTCGGTCGCCGAAGGAAACATGGGATGATATATGACCGCGCGAAGTAGAACATGTCCTCGAGCGGGTGTTCCAAGGTACGTTAACCGGGTCGATTCTAGGTACTTGAAGTCGGGTCCAGGTCTGGTCTTTCAGCAGTTCTTCCTTCGTTCGGGCCCCCAAACAAACGACAGCTCTCCTCTCACGCGTCCAACCAAACGACGGTCTTGGTCTGAACGCCCGGGCGAGCCGCCGTCGGGTTGGTAGGGAATCCCAAAGAGCTTCAGCTTTCCACAGTGAGTGGCCCCACGGAGGTAGACCGCGCCCAAACGGTCTTTCCACCTGGGAGCAGACTGAGCAGACCGTATGGGTTGGAGCAGTTGACGGCGTGCTAACGCATGAACAATGCAACACTGAAGATGGAACAAATATTAAAAATGCCTGTGCACTTGATGATGAAGAACGACATGCGGAGCATTTGGAGCCTGGGATTTTTACTTGGAGCATCTTGGAGCATTCCTTGCGCCCAAACACTCCATGATTCTCCATGTACAGAGGTGGTTTAAAGGTCAATGTAATCAATATAGGCATACCTGCAACCTCGTGGTTGCATTTCCTTTTTGTAATCCTTTGTTTTTGTCTCTGAGCTGAGCCATAGACATTTGCAACAAAAAAAACATCCGCTTAAAAAGGACAAACACGTTCGGGTAAAACGCCCGTGGTTCACCAATAAATGCCTGTAGTTTGATTATAACCGTCCGTGCAATACCGCAACAACATCCGCAGACTTTACATCATATAAGGCGACTGCAAAAGAGGTTCACACCACACATAAAAATACACACATGAGACAAAATCCAGGTCTATGCCAGTCCCCTGAAGCGTCTGGGTGTTTCACAAAATCACCTGGACCCGACTGCCGGCGGCAGGTCCCAGGCGCCATGCGTAGCTGTTTTTTGGTCCGGGTCATATCCCAGGCGAATCCGAGCGAGCCGGCCCTCCAGTCCGCACCCCTTGCGGGGGTTTGGACCTGAATCAAACCCTTCACATTTGAGAGGACCCGCTTTGTTGATGGCAATTTTTCTATATAGGAATTGGAGGCTGGTACACCCTCATGGGCGAACGCTCAGGGTTGAGACCGAACCGGATGCTTCAGGTCGGCGGATCCCTAGGGCCCAAGGGCCCGGATTGCTCCACCATTGATTGGATGGTTTGGTGCTGAGGAAACACGGTGTTTACTGGGTTCATTTAAGACTATGACAGCAGGTCAACCTTGCTTTTAGTGGTCTTGGAAGGCTAGGGTCTATATTAAAATAATATATATGAAGGACGGTCAAAACTCCATATGTTTCTTCAACTTAAACATGGACGTCATGGGTCTTGAGTTGGACCTTATCGTTTTACAGTGCTTTGAGTTCGTCGCATACTTATGATCATTTACAGCGCTGGAGTGATCGGTTTTGAGGTGGACCTTGTCCTTTTGCAGGGTTTGGTGCACAAACCTACCCTTGTTGACTAAAGGGGTCTTCGCATTTTTTGACGGTAGCTCATATGTTGTTCGGCTGGTCGAACGTGGTTTTCTTTTGTAGGGCAACGTTGTAACGTTGAGTAACAAGAACGCGGGATTATCCACTGTTCCCACTGAGTCACCATCTTCCCATTATCTTCTTTTGGATGGACCAGAACACCTTCAGCAAAGAACCTTGCATATCAGTGCCAATGGATGGTTCTGTCTGTGGACTGGCACATGGGAGCGTAATGACTCACCAGGCTCAGTACAAATCAAGTCAAGCTACTCGCGGCCTTTCTCGTGGTTGCCCCTCACAAAGATCTTGTGCTTAAAGTCTTGTTGTCGAAACCACTCCACAAAGTCTGCATTTGGAAAGACATATGCAGGAAAGAGAACAACAAAATTGACAGCAACAAGAAAATCGTAAAAACAGGGTGAGTGTGCGTGTATATATATATATATATATACGTATCGATCCTCATTATAGGCAATAGTTAGGGGACAAGAGCGCCTAGAGGGAACGTCTAAGCGCGCACAAAGGCGCCTTTTCCCACAGGCAAAAATTTCGGCCCAAGAAGAAATTCTAGGTATACCTAGAGCCCCCAATACATATTTTGAATGGTAAGGTTACCAAATTCGAGGTCTCTGAGGGCTCTCAAGATCAAGGTGCAGCCAATGATAGATAGATTTGATGTGGCTGTAGAAGTGCTGGATTGTCTTGCATGTTGTGACATCATCCATTGCCTGGCGAGTCAGTTTCGGACAAGGATGCTGATGATGCAGATGATGCCCTGGGCTAATGTTGAAAGAAGAAACACAGTCCCTTTAGCCTTGCTCCAAGCCAACAGCTCCGCCATTTGACTCCGCCATACTAGACTGCACGGAAGGCAGCATGTTCTGGCCAGAGAAGATTTGTGGGGGAGTGTATATAAAAGCGACCAGCTTTCACGAGCTGCCGCGAAATTTATATGCACTTCAAGGTTCACAACGTGTGCTGCACCTGCTACGAAATCTGCCCTCAAATTTCCCCGCCTGCCACGAAATCGGCGCATCAAGATTCACATCAGGCAGCCCTGCCAACGCGATTCGCAGCAAGAGCACTTCTAAAGACAACATCCAGATGCCAAAAACAGCCATCAAGAAGGTTATCAAACTTGCGGCATTCAAATCCGCCAGGGTTTATCCATGGCCTGCGATTTTTCCGCGCCGCGAAGCTGCGCTTTCAATGGCTGTACTTATGAGCCGCAGATTCACGACCGGTTTCGCCCTCACTCGCCCTGGTTCTTCAGCGGGCAGTGCCCGACCAAATAGGTCAGCATGCAGTGTCTGAGGCGCTCCAAAAGTAGGGCCAGGAGGCCAAGGCCTGCAGACCGGAGCCACACATGTCCAAAAGTCACGATTCACAAACCTGCCACACCTGCACAGCTCACGAAAGGTCGACCTAATGGACCACCAAAAAACGGGGCTTTCCTCGCTCCTGCCACGAAAAGTGATCACCAAGCCCGAAAATGCGCACGGCACCACAACGAGAGTGCTCGAAGAGCACCCGTGGCAGCCCACCAGATTCTGCAAGCCTGCGCAGTCGAAATGCGCTCGAAGATCTGGAGGTGAATAAATGCGCTGCAAAATGCAGCATATTAGCCAGACCCGGCCGCGAGCACCTCGATCAGACACCCGTCCATATTACCATAAGAACCCTTGTTTGTAGGTTTACCACACTGTTTGGGCAAAACTACAAACCAGCACCACGGAGTTCGGGTGGTTTATAGACATCCCATGACATCCCTATTGTCCTTCCAATAACCACCCTTTCACTCCGTGCCGCAGGAAAAGGCAATCAGCACCCCTGAAGGTATTTGGACCCTCCAAACCTAGCTCAAACAGCTTCTTAGAAGGTACTTGGAGCCCTTGGGCACCTCATATCACCGCCAAACAAGGCAAATGCAAAGCCAACACCATCTCTCGCACTGCTCAGCACTGCGCGCCCGCGCCTGCCAGATCAGAGCCGCTGTTGCCTTGAGCATCTCCACAGTGGATCAAAAGATCCTCAGATCTCCAAATTTGCCTCTAACATCCTACAACCCAGTGGATTCCAGTTATAAGACTTTTGCTTGCAACCTGGTACGAGTAACGACACTCACTGAAATCATCATGGATGGAAGTCAAGTGAAAACCACCTGCCATGACTGAGAACACCCATCCTCCTTTCAGGGCCATGCCATGCACTAGATGATAATTTCAGAAAGAGACAACCATCGATCTGTGTTTGCGGGGCCAAAAGCAACCACTTCATGGCAAAACCAACCACTTCACTCCGCTGGATGCCCAGCACTACCTCCGTTCTCCCACCCACTGCCCTGGAGGGGGCGCTTACACCGGACCCATAACGACAGAGGCGACTCTCGCAGGACATCCATGGTTTGATTCCAGCAGGTTCCTGGTTCCTTATATAGGAAAAACGCCTGGTGTATCAAAGAAACGTTGAAGGGGTACATAAAAACCAGGTGTATATACAACTCTGGTGTATAACGTATAAGAAACCTGGATCCCTTAGACATACACCAGCACCCTCCAACAGGGTCTCCTCTCATACCAGCTGTAGGAAGGCTAAGGGAATGACTGGTCAGCATCTACCACTGAGTCTAGTGATGACTTGTTTTACCCTGCTAGTGGTGGATTTGGACGAAACCTGGGTGGAGGTTTCACGAAGTCATTGTCTGCGTTTTCGCCTCCCAGGACCCTTTTGTAGAGTAAATTCCTTAGCACAACCATGGTCGTTCGGTGAAGAACACACCGTTTGACCAGGTTTGTGAGCAAATGCTGAGACCCTTATCTTAAGTACCCATCATAGAAAGAGATCGATCGAGTGGTGGAAAAGGTTAAGACGTGTAATATGTGTATATTGTATTTATATTTACTCTATATGTCTTATATATAGTTTTTCTATTGTCATGTACTTATGTACGACTTGTATATACTGTAAGTCATGTCCCTGGAGGTCAGGTCGCATCTCATCTTGGGACCCTTGAGACTCACTGTCGCTGTCACAAGAGCTGAATTGGGAGCTCCAGCTCTTGTTGAATCGGGAACCCCTATACCTGGAACCTCATTCAGGCTCACATTTCTGCCTGTTCAAGAACATCTGCCTGAACCAGGGTTTGTCCTTAAAAACTGCCTGGCGAGCAGAAATCGTGATTCAGGCAAAGCAAAGCACCTAACCTGCAAATCTGCAGTGTTAAAGCAATTTGCGACATTTCAATTCGGGCGAGAATCGGCGTGATTCGGACGTGAATGTGTGTGATCGGGCGAGAATTCGTGTGATCGCGTGATCAGGTGGATTTTGTAGACTCAAGTTGCATTGCATCTACTCATCACTCACAGAATATATCGATAATATTCGATAATAAGCAAAAACACGTTCGGGCGAGAATTTTAAGGGGTGGGCGTGAAAACCACGTTCGGGCAGAAATACTGCCTGAATGGATTTGGGAAGGAATTCTAGCCTGGACAAGTTCCTATGGATCACCCCTCCCTCAAAGCTTCGAATCCCGCATTCCTTTCAGGGCTCAGATGCTCGTCTCGCGCTGGCAATCCAAACCCCGCAAGAGCTAGGCCTCGCTACCGTCCCAAAAGCCCAACTCTTCCACATGGATTCCACACGCCAGGCGTCGCCCTCCGGCAGGCGCGGGAAGCGCCGGTGAAAGCCGTGCGTGTCGCTGATTGCCACTACCCGCGTCGCGTGGCTCAGCTCCGCCGGCGCGGCGCCTGCGGCTCCGGTTCCGGGCGGAGAGAGGAAGCTCCTGCAACCCACCCGGTGGAGCGAAGCGGAGCAGATGCGAGCGAGCGGAGTTGTCGAAGTCTATGCGAGCGGAGCGTGCCACAATGAAAAAATTAGACCAGCATAGACCCCAAACAGCTCTTTTTCTTTAAAGATAGAACTGCAACAGTAAACTAATTGGGGAATAACAAATCTTGGGGGCTGAAAAAGTTCACCTGCCCAGGAGATTGGCCTCTATTTTGGACCACTATACTGGGAAGTTTCACAATTAAGGGTTTTTAAGTTATGACTTCATCCCGCTTTGGGATTTTAAGCTGTGGAAGTGCTCCATCTATAGTAGCCAGCTAAAGATGCCCACTCTTGG